GCAGACTTTGACAAACCATTTCGGCTAGAAATTGACGCCAGCTCTAAAGGTCTGGGAGCTGTGCTATCACAACAACAAAAGCAAGGCTTCAGGGTTATTGCTTATGCCAGTCGAGCTCTGAAGGAATCAGAGAAGAACATGACAAATTACAGCGCCATGAAACTAGAACTTTTGACATTAAAATGGGCTGTGACTGAGAAATTCAGGGACTATCTATTAGGTGCTAAATGTGTGGTATACACTGACAATAACCCCTTGAGCCACCTAAAGACAGCAAAGTTGGGATCCATCGAACAGCGATGGGCAGCAGAATTGGCACTCTTTGACCTAGAGATAAAGTATCGCCCGGGGCGGTCCAATGGCAATGCGGACGCCTTATCAAGGAATCCTTACGAGAGACCGGGTGATGAGGAAGAAACACTGACAGGAATATGTGAGGTCAGAGCGTCAACAGATATCCCTCATGGGGTACAAGTGATGCAGAACGGGCAGACCGGGGTGGAGCACATATCCACGGAACCCGGACATATGGACAATAGTGATTTTAATTGCCTTAATCACCAAAAGATAAGAGATGCCCAGAGAACGGATAGTGGCTTACAACCGCTATTGAAATACGTCCAGGAACAAAAATTCCCAGGAAGAAGGGAAAGAGAACAATTTGGTCGAGAAACAAAGAAAATACTGAGTCAGTGGGACCGTCTCAGTATAAAGGATGGTGTTCTCATGCGGAGAATTCATGACCAAATTGATGGGACAATACACCAGGTGGTGGTGCCTGGACAGTTAAGAGAAGAAGTGCTAAGGTTGGCACATGACAGGGCAGGACACCAGGGTCAGGACAGGACGCACAAAATATTACGACGGAGGTGTTACTGGCCCAATATGGAAATGGAGGTCAAACGCCATTGTGAGGCCTGTGTGAGGTGTCAGCATGCGAAAATGCCAGTTGTCAAAATGAGACAGCCATCAGGACACCTACTAGCGACAAAACCACTAGAGATTGTGGCTATGGACTTTACGTCGTTGGAGCAATCATCGGATGGGACGGAACATGTGTTGGTAATGACTGATGTATTCACCAAATGGACGGTGGCGGTGCCCACGCGAGATCAGACCGCCAAAACAGTGGCAAAGGTCTTAATAGAACATTGGTTCATCAAATATGGCATACCAAGACAATTACATTCTGACCAAGGAAGGGCTTTCGAGTCAGAAGTAATTAACCAACTGTGCAGCCACTACGGGATCAACAAATCTAGAACAACCACATTTAATCCGAAAGGAAACGGACAGTGTGAACGGTTCAACCGCAGCATGCATGATTTGCTGCGTACGCTAGAACCTGAACAGAAAAAACGTTGGCCTGATTTTCTCCCAGAGTTGGTATATCTATACAACTGCACACCCCATGCCACAACCGGCTTTGCGCCATACATGTTGCTGTTCGGACGGGAGGCTCAACTCCCTCTTGATTTGTTCCTAGGAAAAAGGGAGAGTATGACACAGCACTGGAATATGTGAATGAACATATGAGAAGAATTAGAGAAATGTACAGGGTAGTACAGGAAAGACTAGAACATGAAGCACGGCGAAGGGAACCGCCGGTACAGACAAAGGACCCGCCACTCAAACTGAATGACAGGGTATTACTGCGTAGTCACCCGTTAGGCAGAAACAAAATCCACGATCTCTGGGGACGGGAGATATGGCAAGTCGTGGAGATGCCTAAAGTAGCAGGTGGCCCCTTTAAGATAAGACCCATCGATCACGCCAAACCGGATCGGTGGGCGAATATTGCTCAATTAAAGAAATATTGGAATAGGCAAGAAGAGCAGTTACACACAAGGAAATCCAAGACGATTAGGGAACCGGAAACTATAACGGAAATTCACATACCCATCCCGGAACCATATCACCATCAACAGAACAACCGCGATACACAAGTGGAGGATAACGGCAACAAAGAGGATCCCGTTCCTTCCAGAAGCAGAGAGACAGTAGACCATCAGATAAGTGGTCCGCGGAGAAGTTTGAGGAACAGAAGGAAGACGAAATTTTTTGTCAGCAACCATCAAGTCTTTCATGGTCGTGCTGGTATGAGAACAGACGGTTCAAAAAGCTATAAAAGTGAACTGGTGAAGGCACCAAACGAGAAGGGTGGATGTGAATTCTAGAACTGTTTTGTGTCTCAGGAAGACGATGTAGACACAGTTGATATGTGAAATAGGTATAACTGTCAATCGTATACGAATGGGACGTCGTAGACAGTGAGTGGAACAATAAAATTTTTTTTACGATTATGCGATTGACTTTGGAGGAGTGCACCTGCCAGGCGTTGTTTGTGGTTGAAAACACACAAAAAAAGGCAGGGGTGGATGTAGCTAGGGTGGGCCTAACTACTAGTTACAAATCTGATAACGAACGAGAAGCCGAGACGCAGTATTGGTCTGATGCAACCGATAACAGGTGGCTTATTGGGTCGGGCTGATAACAATCTCAAAGCCAACGCGTGCTATTTTGGGAAACGGTACGAGGAGTGAGACGGCCTGTCAACTTTGATTGATAGGATGCAGATGTTATTTCACGGACTGTACGTAGAACTACGCAACTGGTGGTCGGAGACATCGAGTACAAGTATCGATTACGGAGGAATACAAGTACGGAGACGAGTACGGATACAAGGCATAAATAGGAGGGGACGACTGAACTCGCTCTCTTACTCTCTTCCCGTTAGCGAGCTCTTCCGTCGTCGTCGCTCGCTTTAGATCAGTCAGTCTGTGTGACATACTCAAGTTGGTTATATTGTGTTAAGAAGGACAATAGACATGTGGATTCAGTTATATGAAGCCTAGTGAGGACTGTTAGGGGGTCAGTTGATTCAGACTATTATTGTGAAACATTTCTGTTGATTCATTGTGTTATATTGAAGCATTTCTTGATTCATGTAATAAAAGGATCAATAGCGAACCTGCATCTTCGAGTCTTTCTACTGTGGTCGATGTTGTGTAGCATGAGTGGTTCAACTCGTTACAATTGGCGTTGTCGGGCAGGATAGACTCGGGGAAGGTCACATTTGGCGTTGCAAACAGGAAAGATGCAACTAGCCTAGGTCACATATATATATATATATATATATATATATATACATTTATATATATGATCAATTCAAAGCATTATTACAACATGAATTGTATCTATGACAACTGGTGGTTGGGTAAATACAAATATTTAGACACGATTGTCTGCACTTGCAGCCCTACCGCCACTTGATATGAAGACATCACGTCTATAGAAGAAAGAGAAACAGCCTAATCTGGGGGTGAAGCATTTATTGCCCAATGTGGACCCGACTCGTCTTTTCCTAGCAACAGGAAGCTTGCCCGGTTGTGTGGCCTTATTGATCGCTGGGATATAAGCCCCACTCCCCCACCCACCCCGCTTTCACCCCCCCCCCTAAAATCGGCGATAGAATATCGCAGATAAGATTGTGGAGAAAAAAACGGCTAGCAGGTTTAATGTCTGTAAAATAAATTCCTGCACACGGCTAGCGCTTTGATTTTTTTACAATAACAAATCATCGGAGTGGGGAAATATTCATGGACGTCCACGTATAGTGGTGTAGCCAGCAGTTTGTTGTTGAAGTTGGGCGTTGTTAGGGTGTTGTCATGGTGTACCTAGGACTTTATTGTCTTCTTACGTTGAGCTGTTCTGGGATTTGTTTTTTGTTGTCTTACGTTGAACCTTTATGGGATTTGTTCATTGTTACCTTATGTGGATTTGTTCATTGTTGCATAATGTTCTGGAATTTGTTCTTTGTTGAGTTATGTTGAACTATTCTGTGTCTGATGTGTGTTCCTATGTTCTATTACATTTATTCATAACCCTTGTTCATATATGTTATGCGTCTTGTATTTTATTTGAAGAAACTTAAAAAAATAATTAGATCTACATAGGGCTTTTGTTAATCGATAAATCCTGTTGACTAACATACCGGTACTTGTCGCTAAAAGATTATTTTCGATCAATATTTAGAAATAATTTTTAAAACTTATTAACCATTTTCTCGTCTGGTCGAAACCGGATGTACATAACGGCAATAGTTTAGACTATAGTGTTCTGTTGTGTCATGCATATGAATGTGTAGGACTACTTCGATGAGTCTCCTGTTGTGCCATCTGCATGTGGTTGATTTTGTTGCACAATCTTCATTTGTATGTTCCACTGGATATCTACATATGGTGCTTCTACTTAACAATCTACTTGTCGGGCTTCTACTGAACAATTTACTTGTGTACTGAACATTCTACTTGTGGGCTTCTAGTAAAAAATCTACTTGTGGGCTTCTAGTAAAAAATCTACTTGTGGGGCTTCTAGTAAAAAAATCTACTTGTGGGGCTTCTAGTAAAAAATCTACTTGAATGTTCCCCTGACAATTCATCATTCTGCAGTTCTTCCCTTAACAGTGTCATCCGACAAAACATCGACCAGACTTGTCTTTTTAACTCATCTGTCTTAACAGCTATCTCCATTGGTCAATCACACGTAGGTACTCAACGTTTTTCAGACACACGCAATCAAGACTTACTGATGGTTTGTTAGGAAACTTTACAATTATACACATCAAATATACTTCATTCCTTAGATAACCTATACATTACTCTTAAGTCTTAGCTATCGTTATTTTCGACTATAAAAATAAAACCGCGTGTAAGCTATGTGTAGATCAGGGGTCTCCAAACTTTTCAGTCCGAGGGCCGCATTGACTATCAAATTTCAGATCAGGGGCCAGTTTCTTCCTGACATGTCTTTGATAAAGTTCCTCAGCCATCACCAACAAACGGTTTTTCCGTAGACAAAATGATCTCCGCGGGCCGGATGAGAGGACCTCGCGGGCCGCATACGGCCCGCGGGCCGTAGTTTGGAGACCCCTGGTGTAGATTAACAGCAAAACAGTTTTAAATATAACTGACCACTAACTACACAGAGAGTGTACTGACCATCTGTAGCCAAACGTTGGTTATGATGACCTGGTTCTTCTCGTCCACGTTGATGATGGCACTGAGAGCCAGACTGAAGTTGATCTGTAGACTGTCGCTGGTGTTGATCACAGGACGGATCAGATGGTTGTAGCTGTTCTTCTTGAACAAGTCGTGGTTCAGGCGCTTCTCGTCCATGTCTGGTGATATAAACTACAGTCAAAGGGCTGCTCATCACATTCTTAAATATGCAAGGGTTTTCGTTGATGTAAACTGCAATCAGTAGTATTTTCAAGACATTATATACAACCAGCCGTTCCGGCCAGGTCTTGCTCTGGTCAAAAGTAACCATTTCAAAATTTAAACGTTAACTCAAACATGCTTTTAAGTTCATAAATATATAAACTTTAAAACAATAATTACCAAATGCTCATAACAAAATAAAACAGCAACTTGAATCTAACCTAATCCTAAACATACACATGCACAACCATGAAACGCATTCGTTGTCTGGCCTGTTTTTCATCTCCTAATCTATAATAACTATTTTCAACTGGAACTTCTAAGTGTAATTTTGGTGTTTCAACTTCGATCTCAGAGCTAGTTTTGCCACCTTCACTCTAATGTTAGTTTCAACTAAGGCTTAATACAAACGCTTAAAAAAACGGTTGCCGCAATCAAACACTAAGATATAATTTTAAGCTCATCGATTCGACTTGCCATAAAGGGTCACAAAAATCTGCAATCAATCCGGAAACACGTTACGGTCATCAGGAAGTCCAGAAAGTGGGTCTTGTACTCTCTAGTACCAGGTGAACAGGTACTCTCTGGTACCAGGCGAACCGGTACTTTCTGGTACCAGGCGAACCGGTACTCTCTGGTACCAGGTGAACCGGTACTCTCTGGTACCAGGTGAACCGGTACTCTCTAGTACCAGGTGAATCGGTACTCTCTGGTACCAGGTGAACCGGTATACTCTGGTACCAGGTGAACCGGTACTCTCTGGTACCAGGTGAACCGGTACTCTCTGGTACCAGGTGAACCGGTACTCTCTGGTACCAGGTGATCCGGTACTCTCTAGTACCAGGTGAACCGGTACTCTCTGGTACCAGGTGAACCGGTACTCTCTGGTACCAGGTGAACCGGTACTTGGTGAACCGGTACTCTCTGGTACCAGGTGAACCGGTACTCTCTGGTACCAGGTGATCCGGTACTCTCTAGTACCAGGTGAACCGGTACTCTCTGGTACCAGGTGAACCGGTACTCTCTGGTACCAGGTGAACCGGTACTCTCTGGTACCAGGTGAACTGGTACTCTCTGGAACCAAGTGAACCGGTACTATCTAGTGCCAGGTGAACCGGTACCAGGTGAACCGGTACTCTCTGGTACCAGGTGAACCGGTACTAGGTGAACCGGTACTATCTGATACCAGGTGAACCGGTACTCTCTAGTACCAGGTGATCCGGTACTCTCTGGTACCAGGTGAACCGGTACTTGGTGAACCGGTACTCTCTGGTACCAGGTGAACCGGTACTCTCTGGTACCAGGTGATCCGGTACTCTCTAGTACCAGGTGAACCGGTACTCTCTGGTACCAGGTGAACCGGTACTCTCTGGTACCAGGTGAACCGGTACTCTCTGGTACCAGGTGAACTGGTACTCTCTGGAACCAAGTGAACCGGTACTATCTAGTGCCAGGTGAACCGGTACCAGGTGAACCGGTACTCTCTGGTACCAGGTGAACCGGTACTAGGTGAACCGGTACTATCTGATACCAGGTGAACCGGTACTCTCTAGTACCAGGTGATCCGGTACTCTCTGGTTCCAGGTGAACCGGTACTCTCTGGTACCAGGTGAACCGGTACTCTCTGGTACCAGGTGAACCGGTACCAGGTGAACCGGTACTCTCTGGTACCAGGTGAACCGGTACTCTCTGGTACCAGGTGATCCGGTACTCTCTGGTACCAGGTGATCCGGTACTCTCTAGTACCAGGTGAACCGGTACCAGGTGAACCGGTACTCTCTGGTACCAGGTGAACCGGTACTCTGGTACCAGGTGAACCGGTACTCTCTGGTACCAGGTGAACCGGTACTCTCTAGTACCAGTACTCTCTAGCACCAGAAGCTCGTGTTAGTCTCTCAACCCTAGTTTTTATGGTTATAATGTTCAGGTAAAGCAGTGTGGTCTTTACACGCCAGCCAACTAACCTTTAACCTTTACAAAATGGACAGGTTTCCTCCCCTTTTTCAGCGTGTCATGTTACCAGTTGGCCTTGCAACGCTTCATCTCAATATTGCCGTCTATGCTAGAGATTGGCTTGATACATTGTTTATTTTTACCAAAAATCTAAAAGTTCGGTTTTTGAGGCACATTCCTACCATTAATTTGGATGATAATAACTTGGTGAAGGAAGTGATAACCACACAATTGAATGTTTTGTGAAGTCGCGTCTGTTATTTTAGTACACTCTAGTTCCGGTATGCTCGCTAGTGGTGGAGGTACCTGCGCCGTTCTAGAATTTCAACCTTTCGTTGCTGGTTGAAGTAGATGGTTCACCTGAACCGTTCCGGAATGGCGTGAGTTATTTCGGTACACTTGCGTTACTCCCTTAGATGCGGATAGCCTGAACTCACACATTAGCAGGTACTGTTGTCGAGTGTACGGGAACTTTTTAAGTGATGTAGTTAAAACAGCGTTAAATTTGATAATTAAAATATAATTAACGTTAATTAAAATTCAATGTGTAAATTAGTTTCAGCATAGGTTAATATTTGTTCGGTATAAAAACGCTTGATTTGCATTTTCGTCCACAAAAAGTACAAAAAAATTATAAAAAATATTTCTTCTTAACTTCTGGCGATTACGTAATACAACTTGAGTATTTTTCCCTCTGTCCAAAAACCTCAGGATATTTGTATTCATTTCAAAATGTCACCGCTATTAATATTCACATCAACTCGTCTATCTATCAAGATGAAGATCACAATAGCAATACAGTTATTTGCTTATAAAGACATCTTCGAGGTGAAGGCTAGGGGCGAAAAATAGCGAAGCTCATAATGAATGTGATCAATAGCCACGATCTCAACTTGGCTTGGCTTGTCTGGTCAGGAATATATTAGATAGTTGTTTCTTATTTTCAGATTGTAATGGGAGGGGAGAGGTGGAGAGACGCTTGCTTGAACATAGAGTGAAATCATTTGGAGCTAAACAAAATGGGGTCTGGCTAAAAGGATAAAAAAGGACACGGTATTGGAAAAGTGAGAAATTGGATTGAGAGAGAGAGAGAGAGAGAGAGAGAGAGAGAGAGAGAGAGAGAGAGAGAGAGAGAGAGAGAGATAGGGGGGAAGGAGATGAGTTAAGAGAAAGGCGTTAACAATGGAAGTGAAGAATGTTCCAGATTGTGGATTTCGGGATAGATTGAATAAAAAGATTCCGACGTCTGAACTGTTTTTAAACCGATACTGTTATACTGGGATTGGGGGGGGGGGGGGGGGGGGCAGGAGGGGAGAGGGGAGGGGATGGTGTGTGGCCTAGATGTGTTAAGAAGATCGAAGCTATTGACTTAACCAGTCAACTGCCGTGGTCAACACGAGGCTCCCGTTTTACTTTTCGTTCGCAGGGAAAACATCAGTGTCAGGTCTGTGAGCTGTTGTAGGGAGGGGGTGGGGTGGTGGGGGGGGGGGGTAAGAGCAGAGGTAGGATGAAGAGTGGGGAAAGACAAAAACATCAGTGTCAGGTCTGAGAGCTGTTGTAAGAATGTAAGGAGGGGGTGGGGTGGTGGGGGTGTAGGGGGTGGGAGCAAGAGGTGGAAGCAGAGGGTGGAGGGTGACAGCAGAGGTGGGATGATGGGTAGGGGGGGGGGGACAAAACATCAGTGTCAGCTCTGAGAGCTGTTGTAAGGAGGGGGTGGGGTGGGTTGAGTTGGAACAGGAGGGGATGAGAGGCGGGGTGGGATGAAGGGTGGGGTGGAGGATAAAAACATCAGGATTGTGGGGTGGGGGATAAAAAACATCAGGATTGTGGGGTGGAGGATAAAAACATCAGGATAGTGGGGTAGGGGATAAAAACATCAGGATTGTGGGGTGGGGGATAAAAACATCAGGATTGTGGGGTGGAGGCTGGCAACAAGTGTATGTGAGAGCAGAAGGGTGGGATGAAGGGTGGGATAAGAGTGTGAGATGGATGGTGGGGAAAAACTCCAGTGTGAGCGGTGTAATGAGAGGGTGGTGCGGATCATGGGTTGGGGGGGGGGGGGGGGGGACAAAATCATCAGACTTTCGGCTGTGAGTTGTTATATGAAGTGGGAAGGATCACACTAATTACACGCCTCTAAATCTACATTTTGTTCTGCATTATAATCCAACACAAGACACTCTCAAATGGAAGCTTTCAACCACAACACGGATACTGTCAGCCTTAAATTATATTTGGAATATTTAACTGCATCCAGCCAAACCTATACTTTTAAGATATTCTTTTGAAAAATCCTAGTCTATCAAAATTTCTTATTTATTTTATGTAAGCAATATGCCCAAAATACCAAAACGCTAACATTCCCTGCAAATAAAAACACACTGCACATTTCTAATGAGAAGAACTATGATAGAAACACACCTTTATTAACAGGTGTAGGTCTACAGTGTAAAGACAAAGTTATGACCTTCTTATTTGGAACAAAAATGCCCACTACTGTTTGAGCAATCAATACACTCTAGATATTATTAGTTGATTTGTAAGTATCCTTGTGTCAATACACATTCAGATTAGAAAATTAATTTAGGTCAAATGACATGCACTTTTCTAGTTATCGGTCAAATGAAAGTTTAGTTGGTTGCCTAGTTACCACTATAAATGTGATGACTTTTTGTAAGAGCTTAGCATGTGGCCATGTTAGTTGGTACTTTTTTTCTTTTTTCTTTATTTTTAATTTTGGAAAGGATACAATCAATACAGTTAAGTATTATGTGTCAACTTGGCATGCCCCATACGCCGTTGACTCCGATTTCAGTCTGCTTTTCTTTTTGGATTTGCTTGCATAGCCTTTTCCAGCCAAGAACAAACTACAAGGCAGGAGTTTGATTTTGGAGTTGTCTCTCCTAGAAGAGTTGCTAGCCCACATCTATCGAGCCTCACAGTGGCGTAGCCAGGATCGTCTCAAGGGGGGGGGGGGGGGGGTTCCAACTTTTACCCGGGGACAAACTTTCGATTTGCACCCCCCCCCCCCCCTCAAATTTTCGATTTGCACCCCCCTCATACTTTATATATATATATACAGAGGGGTCTATGGGGGGGGGATTATGACCCCCTAACCCCCCCCCCCCCCCTGCCTACGCCACTGGAGCCTCATTTGCCCAAGTGTTCGAACTCGAGACTTCTCGGTGTAGCTACAATGAGCTTTACCAACGCCGACCACTTGTTTGTTCTCCACAATGGCCAGATAGTCTGTACTATGGCATCTTTGCTGCACCAACGGCCATTTCTTCACTCAGCAAAAGGCAATTTTTGTACTCAACAGATGGGCTTATGTCTAAGGGGGACGAGGGTGTCCAAGGGTTTAATGTCGAGGGATGAATGTATAGGGTGTTTGCAGTACAATGGGCCATGTCCGAGGGGTTGTGTACAGGGGGTTATGTACAGGGGGTTGTGTACAGGGGGCTGTGTACAGGGGGTTGTGTACAGGGGGTTGTGTACAGGGGGTTGTGTCCAGGGGGTTGTGTACAGGGGGTTGTGTACAGGGGGTTGTGAACAGGGGGTTGTGTACAGGGGGCTGTGTACAGGGGGTTGTGTACAGGGTGTTGTGTACAGGGTGTTGTGTACAGGGGGTTGTGTACAGGGGGTTGTGTCCAGGGGGTTGTGTACAGGGGGCTGTGTACAGGGGGTTGTGTACAGGGGGTTGTGTACAGGGGGCTGTGTACAGGGGGTTGTGTACAGGGGGTTTGTACAAGGGGTTTTGTACAAGGGGTTGTGTACAGGGTGTTGTGTACAGGGTGTTGTGTACAGGGGGTTGTGTACAGGGGTTGTGTCCAGGGGGTTGTGTACAGGGGGTTTTGTCCAGGGGATTGTGTACAGGGGGTTGTGTACAGGGGGTTGTGTACAGAAGGTTGTGTACAGGGGTACTGGTCTGTGATCACTCACCTTGTGGCCTTGTTTGACATTATCCCTGTCTATCCACTGGACCAAGATTACTAATTCAACGATACTATTATGTTAAAAAAGTTCGTACATCCTCTGTCTAATTAGTGCTCTAATTAGAATTGCATACTTTTTGTTTGGTTGATTGCATTGACCCGTGCCATTCACTGACATTCCACCGAGCCAGTACTTCTTTTATCGAATGGGAACTTACTCTATGTGAAACGTGTTGTTACTGTGTAGCCAATGTTGACAGTGTTATTGATCTAACAACCAATGTTGACAGTGTTATTGACCCACCATGTAACCAATGTTGACAGTGCTATTGACCCACCATGAAACCAATGTTGACAGTGCTATTGACCCACCATGAAACCAATGTTGACAGTGCTATTGACCCACCAACCACAGTGCTATCGACCCACCAACCAATGTTGACAGTGCTATTGACCCACCAACCAATGTTGACAGTGCTATTGACCCACCAACCAATGTTGACAGTGCTATCGACCCACCAACCAATGTTGACAGTGCTATTGACCCACCAACCAATGTTGACAGTGCTATTGACCCACCAACCAATGTTGACAGTGCTATTGACCCACCAACCAATGTTGACAGTGCTATCGACCCACCAACCAATGTTGACAGTGCTATTGACCCACCATGTTGACAGTGCTATTGACCCACCAACCAATGTTGACAGTGCTATTGACCCACCAACCAATGTTGACAGTGCTATTGACCCACCATGTTGACAGTGCTATTGACCCACCAACCAATGTTGACAGTGCTATTGACCCACCATGTTGACAGTGCTATTGACCCACCAACCACAGTGCTAGTGACCCACCAACCAATGTTGACAGTGCTATTGACCCACCAACCAATGTTGACAGTGCTATCGACCCACCAACCAATGTTGACAGTGCTATTGACCCACCAACCAATGTTGACAGTGCTATTGACCCACCAACCAATGTTGACAGTGCTATTGACCCACCAACCAATGTTGACAGTGCTATTGACCCACCAACCAATGTTGACAGTGCTATCGACCCACCAACCAATGTTGACAGTGCTATTGACCCACCATGTTGACAGTGCTATTGACCCACCAACCAATGTTGACAGTGCTATTGACCCACCAACCACAGTGCTAGTGACCCACCAACCAATGTTGACAGTGCTATTGACCCACCAACCAATGTTGACAGTGCTATCGACCCACCAACCAATGTTGACAGTGCTATTGACCCACCAACCAATGTTGACAGTGCTATTGACCCACCAACCAATGTTGACAGTGCTATTGACCCACCAACCAATGTTGACAGTGCTATCGACCCACCAACCAATGTTGACAGTGCTATTGACCCACCATGTTGACAGTGCTATTGACCCACCATGTTGACAGTGCTAGTGACCCACCAACCACAGTGCTAGTGACCCACCAACCAATGTTGACAGTGCTATTGACCCACCAACCACAGTGCTAGTGACCCACCAACCAATGTTGACAGTGCTATTGACCCACCAACCAATGTTGACAGTGCTATTGACCCACCAACCACAGTGCTAGTGACCCACCAACCAATGTTGACAGTGCTATTGACCCACCAACCAATGTTGACAGTGCTAGTGACCCACCAACCACAGTGCTAGTGACCCACCAACCAATGTTGACAGTGCTATTGACCCACCAACCAATGTTGACAGTGCTATTGACCCACCAACCACAGTGCTAGTGACCCACCAACCAATGTTGACAGTGCTATTGACCCACCAACCAATGTTGACAGTGCTAGTGACCCACCAACCACAGTGCTAGTGACCCACCAACCAATGTTGACAGTGCTATTGACCCACCAACCACAGTGCTATTGACCCACCAACCAATGTTGACAGTGCTATTGACCCACCAACCACAGTGCTAGTGACCCACCAACCAATGTTGACAGTGCTATTGACCCACCAACCACAGTGCTATTGACCCACCAACCAATGTTGACAGTGCTATTGACCCACCAACCAATGTTGACAGTGCTATTGACCCACCAACCAATGTTGACAGTGCTATCGACCCAACAACCAATGTTGACAGTGCTATTGACCCACCAACCAATGTTGACAGTGCTAGTGACCCACCAACCACAGTGCTAGTGACCCACCAACCAATGTTGACAGTGCTATTGACCCACCATTAGTGTGAGTGCACGAAGCAACCGTGTATCCACCACCGTCTACAGCAGTATTTGACCCGTTAATGTACACAGAGACACGGCGCATTTATTTGAGGAAGTACGGCTTGATCGATAAAAGGTCTATAATGTAAACTCTACATTATCGTTAATTGGTTATACGAATCAGAGTCTTTTTAAGTCCAGGCTTAGAATAACTATTTTATAGAGTATATAAAATATTTTAATAAAATACTGGGGTTCTAACTAAATCGTGGCTAATTCAAGGAACACTCTTGTATTTACGTGAAATATTTACACATCTGATAGATAGATGTGGTGTGTATATGGTGCTTGCATCTAGAACTTGTGTCCAGTAGGTTGAGTAGGGCCTCACAACAAGGGCTACACAAACTTGGTTGTATAAGTAGGGCTACATTAGTAGGGCTACATTAGTAGGGCTACATTAGTAGGGCTACATTAGTAGGGCTACATTAGTAGGGCTACATTACTAGGGCTACATTACTAGGGCTACATCAGTAGGGTTACATGAGTAGTGCTTCACAACAAGGGCTACATGAGTAAGGCTACATGAGTAGGGATACGTGCATATGGATAAATAAGTAGGGCTACATCAGTACAGCAATCTGAGTAGAGCTATATAAGTAGGGCTACATGAGTAACTTACTCAGAGTAAGGCTTCACCATAAAGGCTTTACCCGTATGCTACACAAGTACATCTTAGACAATGGAACAAGATGAATACGACTTGATTAATAACACAATTCAGTTTCCTTAAAAATAATAGACTAGCAACTTCAGAAAAAGACAATAATAATACCCAACTGAGTTATTAAAATGTCACGCACTTTATTCATTTTTAGATTTGTTTGTTGGGGGGACGAGCGGTTTTTTGGCACATTAAGAATACAGTAGTTGGAAACGCAATAATTCTGGAATATATTCATAAAACTCACTTCGGTTACCATTAGGCCTGCAATGTCCTAATATTTAAAAGTAGAATCTTGTATTTCCTTTACATAATAAACATAAAGCCAACATGAATTAGATCTAAATCTTATTTATCAAAACTAGTTAGGGGCTATTTTACACCTATTTAATGAAAATTTCGTCATATAAAACTGGTTATCGTATATCTGCGTCTAGTTATTAAAAAGCCAATATAAATTAAATGTAACCTTTTAATACCGATTCTGCATATTTTGTTTCTATAGACCAACATGCCAAACAAATCCTTACCTCGACTGTCCATCTCAGCGCTGACCTGTCTCAGGAAGAACGGGGTCAAAACAAACAGAAATCCGGTCACCCAGGACCAAATTGGTTGGCCGTCCATCCTCCCGAACACAAGGTGTGGTTTAGGTAATCAGATTTCTGGGCAGACGGTCCGTGCGTGGATCAACAACATCGTCCATGATCACATCCACCAACAGCTCACTGGTCCCACACTAGCCTTCTGTCTGAACTGAGTCTCCCCACTGGTGTAACGCTTACTGATCTCGCTATCGAGTGAGGCCAATACGAGAGGAGGCGAGGTTAGCGGGGGAGAAGGGGAGGCTATTCTAAAGATTTTATTTTTATAAATGACTTGTTTCAGATTTATCATCAATAGAAAAAGAAGAGAGGGGGTGGGGGTGAAAATAAATCAAAGCCCGGAACAAGAATATCTAATTTTCAATAACAAAATTGATTTTTACCAACAAAAAAATCTTAATTCCGAGCAGATTGCAGAATTGAATAACTGTCACGAAAAAGTTTTTTTTTTAAAAAAAAAAAAGCCGAAAATATTCAGACAAGATCTTAATTAATGCGCTTCTGCACAAATAATTTTACGTTAACACATTTTTTTAAAATGTTATCTTACCAAAAAACTAATTACGATACCGAACTCTTAAAGAAAACTCGTCCATAATTAAAGATAAAATAAACGGCTAAAAATTCTTAGTTATCTACTTGCAGCAATTCTCTCCCTTGAACGCGTTACCTCCCTTGAATGCATTCCCTCCCTTTGCTATTTCCTTCCCCTAGATACCGCGCCACAAAGGTATCTAAGTACCGGTACTCCGCTCATTTTTACCTGCACAACGTGTTTCGACCTTTCTTACTATGACGTATTAAAGGGCGTTTCAGCAGACGGTACATTGTCATGCACGCGCGTGCTAGTGGCGTCACATTTGGGAAAGTTTGGTGAGTAAAAGTGATGAAAGCTGGGCCAGAACCGCTCAACACGTGCGCCATCTGGCGGGGAGGAAAGTGTAAATGTTGAGTGGCTTTAGGCAAGTGGTGCTGGCACGACGAGACAACTCACACAAACAATACTTCGCCTGCTGTAAATAGAAGTTTACAAACAATACTTCGCCTGATGTAAATATAAAGTTTACAAACAAAACTTCACCTGATGTAAATAGAAGTTTACAAACAATACTTCGCCTGCTGTAAATAGAAGTTTACAAACAATACTTCACCTGATGTAAATAGAAGTTTACAAACAATACTTCGCTTGATGTAAATAGTAGTTTAAAATTTTTACTTATTGTAAATAGAAGTTTACAAACAAGTCTAAGAACAACCACCATCACCCCTCCCCGGCTGACTCTAAAAATGACTTGATGTTTTTAGATAAAAAAACTAATCTAAGTTTTTCAAATAAAATGACGTATCTACGATACAAGACAGCTAAAAGTCTGATTTCATAAAAAACAATTTCAGAAACAAGACATCGGATACAAGATTAATTGGAATTTATCTTGAAATACGATGCTTAATAAGATTAAACACTTCTAAAGATACAAGACTTTTAAAGACACAAGCCTATTTTAACTACAAAAGTATTTCATATATATGCCTTCCAAGATGTATAATAATCTTAAGCTTTCATAAGGTGTATAAAACACAGATAGCCTTACCGCTGCAGTAAAATAAAGTTAGTGATTTATGATAGTTGGGTAAGTATATCTGGGATGTGATCAGTTCAATATCCAACCACCTTGACATTCACCCACTTCGTGAATGGCAGCCTACCAACTAAAACTTTAAGAATACCCTACTTCTAGGTATAATTCATGAAGTGTAGGCCTAAATCTCTACTGCACTAAAATAAAATACTTTTTTTTTAACTTTTTTTTTTTGTAACTTAATGCAGGCCTCCATTCTAAAAATAAAAGCGTTACTAACTATAGTATGTGCTTTTTGTTTGGGCTTGCTTTTCGCTGATTGTTTATTTAATCTTGAGTTTTCGGAGTTTAGTGAGACCAAAACAGTTTAACTGTACCTAACACTTAGACGTGTTTTGACATAACCTGCGCAACCGGATGTGTTTGAAAGGTGTTACGGTACTAATTAGTTGCGAAGTCAAGTGGTGCTTAAAATAATTACCTAAACTTCAAGAATAATATACCATAAACTGTGTTAAACGCCACATATTTTAAACACATGCCTGTTTGGATCCTTTACGGCCTCATAATAACTTACAAAACGTAACAAAATCCCCGTCCAATTAAGGAATTATTATAAGACACATGAAATGTCCAATCAAAGAGTTACTTTAAGACAAATAAAATGTCCAATGAAAGAGTTCCTATAAGACACATGAAATGTCCAATGAAAGAGTTACTATAAGACACATGAAATGTCCAATCAAAGAGTTACTATAAGACACATGAAATGTCCAATCAAAGAGTTACTATAAGACACATGAAATGTCAAATCAAAGAGTTACTATAAGACACGAATTGTCCATTGAATGGTTTGCCAATGTAAAGGCAAAGCTGCTCCAATTCAAAAAAAAAAAATTCAAACACGTAAACATTGAGTAAAAGACATCAAAAAGTAACAAGAAAATCAATAAATAAAACGATTTAAAAAACCAATACTGAGTCGGCCGACAGAACAGTGGCGTAGCTAGGATATCTGCTGAATGGTGTGGAACTGATTGATGACCTCACATTATACAACACCGTCCCCTAAATGTTGATGCGCTATACCAGACTTGCTAATATACTGCTACGTAGTAAAATTCTACAGACACGACTTTATAAAAAATTTGTTAAGTTGTACGCTTTCTTGTGGTGGTTGTTTGCATTGAACATAAGGTATGGTGTTCTGGTATGGTGTAGCTGTAGTGGTCGCTATAAACATTTGGTATGGTGTGGTTTTAAACATATGGTATGTTTGTCTAGTCACAGTCTAGTGGTAGCATGGTGGTCAAGCATTTGGTAAGGTGTGTTTGTCTAATGGTAGATGTAGTGGTCGCTATAAACATTTGGTCTGGTGTGTTTGTCTAATGGCTGCTGTGGTGGTCACTAATGGTGGAAAGAAATTAAGCAGTGATTCACCCTGTCTGCGTGATCACTAAACTAATTAAGAGATGTTCAAAGATCTTAAACAAACATTGGAGCCCTCACGAACAAAAATTTACAAAAACTGTGACGTTTTTTAATTTCTCTTATACAGAGTATAGAGAAAGTACTGTAATCGTGAAAAAAAACCGAGATTTGTGCAAATTTCGACTTTTTACACCTCCCTGAGTCGGAAAAACATAGGATTGCAATCTTGTCCGTATGTCTGTGGGTGTGTATGTGGGTGTGTGTCTGTAAACACGATAACTTGAGTACTGTTACAGCTAGGTTGATGAAATTTCATATATAAGTATTATATCAAATTTGTAGATCAGTATCATCTTTTCAACGATTTCCGATGACCGGAGGTGGAACTTTTTCTAATTTCAATTTTTCAAAAGCCTATAAATTGAGTACTATTTCAGATAGATAAATGAAATTTCACATAAAAGCAAAATATCTAATTCTCTGCCTTCTATCAAATTTTGAGTAACTTCCGTTGACCGTAAGTAGTAATTTAGGCTATTTCCGATTACTCAAAAAACGCAAGTAAATTTATAAAGTACTAATAATATTCCGCACTATTACACACATTTTATTTGGCGTTCACTTGGTGTGCAATTCTTTTTTGTTCGATATTCTATTCTATTTTAAAAAGTTTAAGTAATTAAAAATGGATTAAACAAATTGTCTATATTCCGAGTTGCCATCCCCCGTATGTTATATAAGAATATTCGAGACAGTTTAGGGGAGTTTAGGCCTTTAGGCACGAACATGAATTTCTTTACACGGACATAAAGAGCACCGCCCTCTGATAACATATTTTCATTTCTGCTACTTATAAAAGTTCAAATGAAGAGCGACTGTAAAAAAATGGAAACTTTAAGCTAGTCCTGGGAGCTAGAGGGACGGTGGCAATGGATGTTCTAGTCACGTGACGGTACCAGACCCCACTCCATCACCCGGGCTGACGTGTGTGGTCAGCAGGACGGCAATCACGTGACACATGGAATAAAGATTCTCTGACGGCTACGACGTACGAGGAGATTCTGTTCTCACAGGCAATGGAATAGACAGCAGGAGACCAGTTGAATGAGATTGGTCTTTTCTATAGGGCAATTGTACATAAATCAGATGCATAAGATTGGTCTTTATATAGGGCAGATGTACAAATATCCTGTAGCACCTGATAGAATGACCAGGGTTGTCATTTTACAGACATAATATATATATATATATATATATATATATATATATATATATATAGCCTACATACACACACACACACACATATATATATATATATATATATATATATATATATATATATATATGTGTGTGTAGCCTGTTTATTTCAGTTATCTTTTTGACAAATGGTAGACTAAATTAATTTACTGATCTGTTTTTATGCCATAAATTTATTGGTTTATTGTTTAATTGTAGGTAGGCTACAATGAACAAAGAGTTTGATATACATAGATGTCACACAAGTTACTCTCCCCCCTTTCCCATGTTAAAAATCTGATTTAACCCCGGTTTATATTGTGCTAGTTTTAATTATATTTAAATGCATTTTTAAACAAAATAAATAAATCATACCTAGTTATAAGCTTTCAATAACAACACAATTCAGTTAACTATTTTGTTAAAGAATTTAATGAATATCTTTGCAGGTCTTTAAATATTTAACACAACAAGCTGAAGCTTGCACAGCTTGTGCTCATTTACATTATTATTGTCATTAAACATTGTTAATTAAATATGAATTAATACATTTCATTAGACCTACAATGTTTTGTAGTGAATGCTAATATAAGTACATGTTAAATATATAATTGTATATCTAAACACAAAAATATATCTTTAAATTAATTGTATAATAAATAAACTCTCAACAAGACAGCCCACATTTTAATTTATATCAGCTGTAAACAGAAAAGAGATATCTACAGCTACAAAAACAATTGTAAAACCTTACCTTACAGACATATCCACATCTGGATAATCCATTGAGAACCCAGTCATATATCCACATTCAAAAATTACATTAATCCATGAAAAAAAAACACATGTTGAAAGTTATAAAAAGTTCAACTTGTTAATAATCTCATTATTTTTCTCCTGCTCTTAAAAAATGATTTTTTTTCAAGAGACTTTTATTATTATAAGTGAAGATAACAAGAGGTCTTAAAGTCTGATTTTTTTTTTCTTTTTAGATTCAATACTTCAACAAGTTTCAATTCACATTTAATGTTATCCAGCATTTTTATCATAATTTTTAAAACATATTAGTTTTTCTTTTAAAAATTATTATTACGTTTATTACTATTAGGCCCTACTATTATTATTTTTACAATTATTATTAAAAAAAATTGTAATTATTATCATTAGGCCTATTATTATAAATGTTATTATTAATATTATTAATGATATTTTTACTACCTAACATAAATATAATATAAATTCAACTTAATTGCTTGTTAAGTCACTGTGTTAGTTAATCCATTTCAACAACAACTCAATGAAATATTATCCAAAACAATCCAGTTCAGCAGCAAAACACACTGATATCCACTGAAACATCACGTGCTAAGATTCCTCGGCTGTTGTAATTTGTTTGATTTTGTCCAAAATTTGGTCTTGATTGACAGTTTCTAGAATGTGTGGGGCGTTAGTGAGTACACCCAAAGTCCCACATAAGGAGACTAGGACGAATATGATCATAAGAAGTCGGTCAAGCACAGCGGCCACGTACTTCCAGTCATCTATGACCTGGGGAAAGGTTAAGACAAGGTCAGAAAATGTTTAAAGGTTAAGACAAGTTCAGTCATAGACACACACAAACCTAGACATGAATAACAGACACAGGATAGATAAAAATACATGGAAATAAATTGATATAAACAGAAAGAAACAAACTCATCATAGTCCAAAAAAATGAAAAAAGGACCAAAACAAACAAAGACATAAATAAATAAATATAGGCCTACATACAAACATTGGCACATAAAAATACACACACAAATAAACTTAGACGTAAATAAACAAAGACGCAAAGACAAAAGTACACATAAACATGATCAAACATACACATGTAGGCCTACTTATAAACACTTAATTTTTTGATACGCAAAGATTCAAGATATCTTTTTTTTTAGCTCTAATTTTATATTTTGTCAATTGCTGTCAGTTTTTATTGATCCTATGATGAAATATTTCAAATGTTCACAACTCATGTGGTATTAAAATGCTATCTGCTACTGATTAAATTTATTTGGACATTGCAATAGCTGTCATTATTAAATCAATTAACTATTGTGTGTCATGTTTACTGGCTTTGTTTACACTGTATGGAATGACTAGGCTCAGAGAATTTTAATGGCATAACAGTTTTCAGAGATGCTGCTATTTCAGATTATATATTTTATAAACAAAATTTGAAAATTGATTCGGTCATAAATAAACTTTGTCTTTAATTAATAAACTGAGTAAATTCATAGATTAAAAGTAGCAACTACTAAACACAGAAACTTGCAAGTACTACATGTTTGTATGTTAAACAATTGTTTCAAAAATATGTGTCCTTACTGTATTATAATCATCCTTGTTTTTCATTTGCCGGCAGATAAATTTGATAGCGTTGCTAACACTGTAGATCTCCTTAGTCAACACAAGTGGGTTAGAGTTGCTAGTGTACAACACAGCCCGATTGGTTTCTCTTCCTGCTAAGCTCTCTTCTGATTGGCTAGTGGACTCCCTCAGCATACATCTGTGGCCATTGGGGGGAAAGTTAGGGGGAAGGAACTCACGGGTTTCTTGAGTAGGACTCTCTGAAAAGTGGAGATACATTTATGTATTTACCAGTAGTAAAAATGGTATCATCAGCATCTTTTCCCATTTGTGCCCAAGACAAATAGGGCAGATGAAGTAGAGTTAAACTGTTATGGGGACCTCTGCATATGAAGGGATAGTGCACTATCCTTTGCTTTTCCTAACATGAGATAGGTACCCATCAGAGCTGGGTGGACTCAGGAATGGTCCACTGACTTGAACATGGATTCGAGCTCAAGACTTTTGGGTTATCAGTCTAGCTCTGAGGGTTATGCGATCCCATGTATCCTTAAATCTTATACACTCGAGGTAGGCCTATATCTTAACTGTGTGGATACATTTCATTTGAACTCATCTTATACCAAATTAACATTAATCTGGTATTAGGAAAAGTTTATAGCTAATTTATAACAATAGTGGTTATAAAATTTAGAAAAACAATTAAAAAAAAACAACCAACTGATTAGGTTCCTGTAAACTGTATATTGTTATTAGGATAATTCCTTTACTCTTATTCTTAAATTATTATCCATTTTTTATTAGAACATAGAACATTGAACTGGTCATGTACTTGATTAGAACATAGAACATTTGACTGGTCATGTACTTGATTAGAACATAGAACATTTAACTGGTCATGTACTTGATTAGAACATAGAACATTTAACTGGTCATGTACTTGATTAGAACATAGAACATTTAACTGGTCATGTACTTGATTAGAACATAGAACATTTAACTGGTCATGTACTTGATTAGAACATAGAACATTTGACTGGTCATGTACTTGATTAGAACATAGAACATTTAACTGGTCATGTACTTGATTAGAACATAGAACATTTAACTGGTTGTGTACTTGATTAGAACATAGAACATTTAACTGGTCATGTACTTGATTAGAACATAGAACATTTAACTGGTCATGTACTTGATTAGAACATAGAACATTTAATTGGTCATGTACTTAATTAGAACAAAGAACATTTAATTGGTCATGTACTTGATTAGAACATAGAACATTTGACTGACCATCAGATGACAGATGGCTGCCAGATGCAGAAGAGGACAGTCCACTCTGACCGTGAGAGTGACTTTTGCTGAACTTTTCCCTCCAAGCCATCACTCTGTCGTGTTCTCTAGAAAATTAAAGTTGGTTTTAGATGGGTTTTTTTTTATAAGGGTACTACAGGAATAAGCTGGTGTATTATTTTACCTGTAGGATATTGTCGTATCAGGTCATTAGGCTTTCAAATCATTGAATAAACTATGAATTTTTTTACATCTAAAATCTACCTATAAATAACCTTGTTTGACATTTAAATAGTCAAATTTTAACCAAATAGCTTCTTTTACAGAATATATTTATTCTTGAATTGAATTAAAACCAAACATTAAAAGAAGATGGCTAGCAATAAGAGAGTTGAATTGGTAATAAATCTGTTGGTACCTAGAGTCTGTGCTTGTAGATGGGAGGTTACTCTGTTTATGTTTCTTGTGTTTACCTTCTGGTGGGAGGTGTCTCAAGAAAATATTTGCTCTAGATACCTACAGTTAGAGGAGATACATAGATATTGTTGTATGTCATATTGATTATTGACAAATACAAATATCATTATGTGATCTTACTTATCAACATACACAAATATTATTACATGTTATCCTGCAAATTGACATATACACATATTACTATGTTATCTTATCTAAATACACAAATATTATATGTCATCCTGATTATTGACATATAGAAATATTATTATCTGATCTTAGTTATCAACATACAATATTATAAGGACTATTAATTATCAGCTTTTTTATGCATACAAATATTATATTTTAGCATGATTATTGACACACACAAATATTATTAGAACAATATGTCATCCTGCTTTTGGACTTGACATATACAAATATTATATTTTAGCCTGATTTTTTTACATACAAATATTATTTTGTTATCCTTCTAATTAACATATCCAAGTATTATTATATATTGTGCAACTTATTAACACATAAATATTATAATACATCATACTAAACTGATACTTTTTTCATTACACTTAAAATGAATCTGTCTTTTTCAAATGCTGATCTAAATTTTTGTGATAAAAAGTCATTAAAAATATCCATATTAATTGTTTTGTACATTAAATGGATTTTAAGTTAAAGTAACAATTATAACACTTAACAAGTCATAAATAAATAAAATAACTCCGTATCTAAAAATAATATCAAACACATTTTCACTATTAATAAAAATTAACAATTTTTGTGAATTTGTTTTTTTAAAAAAAGTGACAATTTAAAGCCCAGGAAAAATGTGTTTAGTCATGTTAAAAGAGTAAGCAAAAGAGGTAACTTTTCCTACCTGAGGAGTATTAGGGTAGGAGGGTGGGGGCGTGCAATTCTTCTCTTGCCAGCGATCATCATGGTTTGGCCTCTCCATGAATATATACTTAGGCAGTCTAAACATTAATACATTTTTCAGTAAAAAATAAAAAAACAATTTCACAATGCACAACCTTCATCATTTAAACTACAAACTTTTTTTCAATCAGAAGTATTAAGATTTATTTAAATTGCTGTTCTTTTGTTTTATTATCATTTGAATGTAGCATTGATTTTTCAGCTTTAATGAAAAAATATAATGTTGAAGTGTTTAAGGTTTTGAAACAAATAAAAACCACAGAACAAATTAAATTGAAATATGCAAATTCAATCTAAATTATTCAGTTTGACAGATTATTTTTTTGGAATTAAGGAGATTAAATACTTAATGATGTGTCAAAGTTCTTACTTGTATAAAAATAACCAGCGCATCCATTTAGGCATGACAGCAGTTTGAGGAGTTTTATGGTGGGCGTAGATTATAAAAATAGTAATGATGATCTCCAGGACATTCATTATAAATGTAAATATAAAGTACTTTGCAATCAAAGGTATGGTCATTGATGGTGGCAAAATCTGAGTGGAATTAAAATAGAAATTTGATCAAAACAATTTAGATAAATGCTTATGAATTTAAATATTAAATTGTTTATTATTTAGGTCATGGTTTTTTTTAATTGGCATATATCTAAAACATATGTGTGGATGCTTTATAACAAAACATAAGTTAAACAGAAATAGTGGGGATATGTTTATCTCCTTTATCAGTTTTATAAAAAAAACAGCTTTATCAATAAACGGTGCAACTAGGGTGTTTAGCTAGAATCCCCCAGTGAATTTCAAGTGACCTCCCCTTAAAGAAAAAAATATATATAAGTTTGTGTGAACCCCCACCCCCCAAAAATATCTTGCTTATGCCACTGTCATCAAACAAAATTTTAAAAAAGGAGAATTTTTATACTGGTGTCAGATAATCGAATCTTCTTTAAAAAAAAGGGGTGTTAGGCTACTGGTAATTAACTAAATACACACATGGCTGGCTAATGTCAATGCTAACCCTGTCCCTAACCCCAACCCTGGTTCTACCATGTGACCATACGCCTAACCCTAATTTCTAACCATAAAATTAGTCGAGATTACAATACTACTAATAACCCAACACAGCTATTTTATGGAAGAGTCTATTATCGGACACCAGTATCTATAATCATCCAAAAAAAAACAAACTTTGTTATAAATCTGTTGCTTGCCTTTTGTAGCAAAAGTAAAAACACAACCAGTGACACAAGGACTGAAATGACCAGAGTGACCTTGGCCTTGCCGTCTGCTGGCAAGAGGAAGACACACAGGCAGGCCAGCGCGTGGAGAAAACTTGGGATGATCAGGTTGACTGTGTAGAACAGAGTCTTGCGGCGAATCACAAGTTTGAAAACTATAATCTCCTTGCTCTACAAAACAAAGTAAAAAGTTTTATAAAAATAATCTAGTTGACCGTGTCAATTTTGAAAACTATTATTTCTTTGCTCTAAAAAAACAAAGTAAAAAGTTTTTTATAAAAATAATCAAGTTGACTGTGTGAGCCCTACAAAATAGTCTTGCAGTGAATCAGAAGTTTGAAAACTATAATTTCCTTGCTCTACAAAAGAGAGGATGAAAAGTTTTTTAAAAAAGTGATCAGGCTGACTGTGTACAACATAGCTTACAGCAAATCACAAGTTTAAAAACTGTAATCTCCTTGCTCTAAAAAACAAAGTGAATAAATATAGAACAATGGTAGGTATAGCTAATACACCTGGGTGAAATGTTAAGAAGTCTTGACATGGATCATAAGTTTGAAAACAATTATCTACTTGCTCCTTGTAAGTTAAAAAGTCATTCAAAATTCATAAAATATAAAACACTATTCCATTGTAGGTGGCCAGTCATATTTTCTTGAAATTTATGACTTGTTATCAAGTATTTTTCATTCACTTGATTTGAGTTAGATGCTAGTTACACGTTATGTACAGCTAGACTAGTAAGAGATTGTGAGCTGTTTATTCCCACTAAGTTAAACTTTGGACATTTCAAACAAATTTCTTCAAACATTATTTAAAAAATAATTTATTTTATTTATAGATGCAACTATCTGTTTCTTGTCTTAATGTTTTGTGGAAATAATGCTGGCCCAACAGTACAATCTACTTACTACTAGATCTAGATCTAGAATAGATGAATAGAATTAGAATAAGTTAACAGAAACTGGGAAACAGAGATGTCTTAGCTCAGATGATGAGAGGGATGAGAGAAAGAAAGGGCAGTTTCACAAAAACTTAAATAGCTATTTTGGGAGCGGAGTAGATTCAAGCTAAATTGTACGATTTCTTTTCTCATTTATTTTATATTGATTATTAATATTATAACAGATATGAAAAACAAATAAAAGAACTTGTCAAGACTGACAGATGTAAACAAGGTTTTGGAGCACAGGGTACACTACTCTAGAAAAATATTTTTACAGTTTTATATTCACACTTACCTCCCCTGTAATAGAATCGCGAATGACCGTAATATTCCCCGGGCAGTCGATTATGTCCCATGCTCCGTTTTTCATATAATCAGCCAACTCCAGCTTACTCTTGACCATGTGATAAACCAACGTCTTGCCTTCGAATGACCACGATCCAAACTTCATTTCACATTCCTAAATTTTATAGTCAACAAGCTAAACAATATACGATCATAAAATACCATACATCAGATCAGATTAAATCAGACTTTTTTCTATTTAATATTAATTTTTAAAAACAAATTTGAGCATCACATTATTTAAAATAATTTTTTTAGGCCTAATTGAAAATTAAAAATAAAAAAAAATATTTCAAAACAAAAAAATATGAGCTTATAATGATAATATGTTTATAACGATAAGTGAAAATTTCATATCAATAAATGTATTGTGGAATTTAAAAGTGTTTTCGTGCTAAACCTACTTGCTGATCGAAGGGAAAATACTTGACATCTATGGAACAGGAACTTGTATAGATGGCAGGGGGGATAAACTGCAAGTTCCCATTACTCTGTAGCACACAGTTGGGGTTGTAAGAAGGCTCAAACTTACCATCAGCACTTGCAAACAGAGAACAATTTATAAAAAGCAGGCATTTATCAACGGAAAACAGAACATAATTTGTAAACAGTGGTTAGTTAGCCATGGAAACAACATAATTTGTAAACAGTGGGTATTTAGCAATGGAAACGGAACATAATTTTTAAACAGTGCACTGGAAAAAAAATCACAATTTATGAACAGTGGATATTTAGCAATGGAAAACAGATCACAATTTTTTTTAAACAGCAGGCATGTAAACATCAGGCATTTAAACCAGAGTTTCTTCCAGGCATCTCTTCGAGGGGGGGGGGGAGTCTACGCCCCCCCCCCCCGAACGAAATGGAGTTTATATAGAAAATATATACTTTTTACAGTGTCCGCCTCCCCCCCCCCCCCCGGAAATTGTTGTCCGCCCCCCTTCCCCCCGAAAATTGCAAGTGCACCCCCCGGAGAAAAAAGTATGGAAGAAACACTGATTTAAACTGCAGGTATTTAATAATGCAAAACAGAATTTGTAAACAACAGTGGATATTTAGCATTAGAAAGATCTTATGTGTGAAGGCAGGATCGATTATAATGGTCTACAGATGAAGATGATTATAATAAATCTAAGCAATCAGAGACAATAACAGCTTCATCATATGACAACATTTTATTAACGTGAATGTTTTTTGTTCAATTAATGCAGCAATGTTTCTCAACCGAATAAAGAATGTTTAATATCATAATTTTAAATCACTATGGCTGATTTTAAAATTATTGTAGATGTGAAAAGATAATTGGAAGGATTACGGTATTCATACATTTTCAAGTTTAGCACTATGGTGATTTGTGTACACTTGTAAACAACGATCACTATTTGGTAAAAATGCCGTAATTCTTTTAAAATTTCCGCTTGTTAAAACTGCCTTACTGACATGAGAAAGCTACTCACTTGTTAAAACTGCCCTACTGACCTGAGAAAGTTACTCACTTGTTAAAACTGTCCTAATGACATGAGAAAGCTACTCACTTGTTAAAACTGACCTAATGACCTGAGAAAGTTACTCACTTGTTAAAACTGACCTAATGACCTGAGAAAGCTACTCACTTGTTAAAACTGCCCTAATGACCTGAGAAAGCTACTCACTTGTTAAAACTGCCCTAATGACCTGAGAAAGCTACTCACTTGTTAAAACTGCCCTAATGACCTGAGAAAGCTACTCACTTGTTAAAACTGACCTAATGACCTGAGAAAGCTACTCACTTGTTAAAACTGCCCTAATGACCTGAGAAAGCTACTCACTTGTTAAAACTGACCTAATGACCTGAGAAAGCTACTCACTTGTTAAAACTGACCTAATGACCTGAGAAAGCTACTCACTTGTTAAAACTGACCTAATGACCTGAGAAAGCTACTCACTTGTTAAAACTGACCTAATGACCTGAGAAAGCTACTCACTTGTTAAAACTGACCTAATGACCTGAGAAAGCTACTCACTTGTTAAAACTGCCCTAATGACCTGAGAAAGCTACTCACTTGTTAAAACTGACCTAATGACCTGAGAAAGCTACTCACTTGTTAAAACTGACCTAATGACCTGAGAAAGCTACTCACTTGTTAAAACTGACCTAATGACCTGAGAAAGCTACTCACTTGTTAAAACTGACCTAATGACCTGAGAAAGCTACTCACTTGTTAAAACTGACCTAATGACCTGAGAAAGCTACTCACTTGTTAAAACTGCCCTAATGACCTGAAAAAGCTACTCACTTGTTAAAACTGACCTAACGACCTGAAAAAGCTACTCACTTGTTAAAACTGACCTAATGACCTGAGAAAGCTACTCACTTGTTGAACAGGACAATGTCCGGGAGCCAGACCTTGGTGTAACTGACCTTGATCTGAGTGACGTTCCTGTAATCCTGTGGCTCCCAGAGAAGCTGGTAGTCGTGCCAGTTCTGTGGATAGTGGATTCACTAACTAGTTAGACTTGGGTGGATAGTGGATTAATAAACTAGTTAGACGTTGGTGGATAATGTATTCACAAACTAGTTAGACGTTGGTGGATTGTGGATTCACAAACTAGTTAGACGTTGGTGGATAGTGGATTCACAAACTAGTTAGACGTTGGTGGATAGTGGATTCACAAACTAGTTAGACGTTGGTGGATTGTGGATTCACAAACTAGTTAGACGTTGGTGGATAGTGGATTCACAAACTAGTTAGACGTTGGTGGATAGTGGATTCACAAACTAGTTAGACGTTGGTGGATAGTAGATTCACAAACTAGTTAGATATTGGAGGATATTTACATAGCTCAACAAGTACTAAGACAACAAAAGCCATTCGATATTTCCAAATCTTAGTAAAGCGCTATCACAAAAACAATTACTAGATGTTTGTAGTCAGTTCTTGAATATAAGACACAAATATTAGGTTCAATTACCCTTTGAAAAGAAGCTTAAAATTAAATCCTAAATTGTCTTTCATAACGAAAGCTTGGGGTATATTTGTATTTCACTTAAGTCCCCATTTTAATAAGTATTTTTTTTCTGGGAAATAAACCATCGAAGAAAATAGTTTTGTTTTGAAGCACAGTTCTATATTTTCCCGATAATTCAACAAAATGTAGGTCAAACCTCTTAATACGGGTACCACGTGATCAAGCTGACTCACCATCTGCAGCCAAACGTTGGTCTTAATGACCTGGTTCTTCTCGTCCACGTTGATGATGGCACTGAGAGCCAGACTGAAGTTGATCTGGAGACTGTCGCTGGTGTTGATCACTGGCCGAATCAGGTTGTTGTACTTATACTTCTCAAACAGGTTGTAGTTGAGACGTTCTTCGGTGATATCTGAAACAGATCATGTGACATGGGGATATCTGAAACATATCACGTGACTTATGGGGATATCTGAAACAGATCGCGTGACTTATGGGGATATCTGAAACATATCACGTGACTTATGGGGATATCTGAAACAGATCACATAACTTATGGGGATATCTGAAACAGATCACGCCATCGCAAGGGCGTAGCGAGGGGGGGGGGGGGGCGGGGGGTGCGGACCGCACCGGGTGACACCATTTAGGGGGGTGACATCAAGACAAAAAATAGCAAAATATATAGAGAAAAACTTGAGGTGGGGGGGTGCAAATCGAAAGTTTGAGGGGGTGGGGGGGGTGCAAATCGAAAACTTGAAAGTTTGTCCCCGGGAAGGGTCGCTACGCCTCTGGGGGGTGACACCATTAAGTGCCGCACCGGGTGACACCCGACCTCGCTACGCCACTGCGCCATCGTGATATTTGACACATTCTTTTCAGTCGTCATGTATGCAAACGACATAGAGTTATTATTTTGTTTTCATATGTGCAGTAGGCAGAGTTATTTTAATTTAACGTCTTTCTCATGTGAAACCTGTATACATCATAATGTGTAGTAACATCTTGTTTAGATGTGTAGCCAGTGAAAAATGAATGTGTTGTGTTAAAACTGGCGCATGAACAGGTAATTTTCTGTGTTAAAAAAATGAAAATCAGTATTAACACAGTCAGCAACATTTACCTTTACTTTCGTTTATTTTTGTTAACAGACAACCACATACAAGAAAGAAGAAAAACATCGCATTTGTATTCACTGTCCTCCCCCCTCCCTCCCCCCCCCCACCCTGTACTCCCTAAAACGCTACAAAATCGATTGTATACTTACCGAGGAAGTGTTCTTCTGTCAAACATGAAAAGTACGGAATATATCACACGTGCCGACCCGCGGCATATCATATGCCGCTATTTAGTTGTTTTATTTTCTACTTTTCAGTAATTCATAATTTGTGAATTCGACAGTACGAATGCTGCCACTGAAAATATTTGCTTTAAAACACTATCAGTAGGTCGTTAAGATCGATACTATCCCCACCCTCCTTTCCCCCAACCCCTACCCCCACCCTCCTTTCCCCCAACCCTTACCATACACCCCCCCCCCCCCATGAAAGCAGCCTCCTCTTAGTTACCTCCCCTAAGTTTAAAATCGTTTCAAACTAACTTATCTGCCCCTAATAGCCGTCACTAAACCCGGCTCTACGAATGTAAACATTTAGCGTGAACCACAGCTCACCAGACAATGTAGGGGTGGGGTGGTAGGGAGCGCGCTTACAGCTTGTTTTCTAGCGTCTCCCAGAAGAGAATTATATATATAGATTATTGTGTTATTTGTACGATTTCTATAAGAGATCAACGCTAGAGTGTCATTCTGAAGCGATCTGAAGCGAACACATAGTTACAGTCGTATGGGAACTCTAAGATATCTAGAATAGCTCACATACCAACCGTGTGATCTCGCGATCTCTGGTGCAACCACTCCCCGTCATGGATATCAGACTCACGTCCATAAAATGATGCCACACTTCAGTCTACTCACTCCCTTTGCCACTCTCGTATTTTGAAACAGGAATTTTTGTCTAAAAAGTTAGCTGGGTCGAGAATACATCTAACGTCTGAGTATACGTTTTTACGTCATTTTTTTAAAGCAGGAAAATTCAGTCTTTTAACAATACTAAAACGCTGCTGAAATTCAGTTTAAAAATTACTGTTAAAATGTTGAAATATAACGTCACACTTTCGGATCTCCCCCCCCCCCATTACACATCGTCACCATGTCCAAAACCTACTCCTATTTATAAGTATGACGTCATTCGTACACGACTTGTTGAAGCAACTCTATAACCACGAATTTAAAAAAAATTCTTCTCAAGGAAGTGATAGTGAAATTTCAATTTAAAAAAAACTATTGTTGAAAATGCTAAAATATGACGTCACATTTTCTGACCCCCCTCCCCCCACCTGGTCATAAATCTTCACCAAACGTCCAAACACCTACTCCCCTTTATTAGTATAACGTCATTTATGGACGACCTTTTAAAGCAAATCTAAAAACGCGGATTTAGAAATTTTCTTTTAAATTCCTTTAATAAAAACCGACAAGGTTGTTTCTTCCTCCAACCAGATCTAACCCTCTGATAAGGTCAGACGGACTGACCTCGATCTAACCATCGCTTCTCCTGGAGTTGGTCTTAAGGTCAAGCATTGTTTTATGGTCGGTGGTTCAGGCTTTGATGGAAAAACTTCTTTAAGGGGAGTACACTACAGATGGATAGTTCGATGGGAGTTCCTGCCCTTGGTGGTTGGTGTCTTGTCTGTCGGAGCGTTTGATGACTTTTTCTGCCGGTTCGATGTATGTATGTCTGTGTTGTGTTTAAAGTTGTGTTGTATTTATGGTGTGTGCTGTGTTTATGGTATGTGTTTAGATTATGGTGTTGGTTGTGTTTATGGCTGTGTTTTCTGTTTATGCCTGTGTTGTGCTTATGGCTCTGTTGTTTATAGCTTTTGTTTATATATATATATATATATATATATATATATATATATATATATATATATATATATATATATATATATATATATATGTTGTGTTTAGGAGAAGACATAATGATAAACAAAAATATAAGTTCAATCATATCCCCACCCAACTCATGTATTCTGTTACCAAGGCAACCGACTGCTCGGAAGGCCGGGTGTGTCAACACGAGGGGACGTCAAGAAAACGTGTCCGGCCTGTCCCATCCGTTTCACGTCAATCAATACATCCCCAGGTTTGAGTGACATGTTCTCAGCGTGACCCACATCGGTGACGTATACCAAGAAACGTCTCCCCCCCCCCCCCCCAGTATTGACGTGGTCACAGCTGGTTACATCTCACCACAGATTAGAACTTTTGGTATTGTCAAATTTTTTCTACGTCTCCAGTTAACGAATACTCATACAGGCGACTTTAACGTATTTAACACGTGATTAAGATCTTCTGATAAACAAGTTGTTTTTTAATCTGATTTAACCTCGAAGCTTTATAGCTGAATCGACAGCGAAAATAATCTTATACGATTTAGTGTGTAGAAGATAAAGATTGGTTGTGGAGATAGCGTGTATATCAGCATTGGGCTCCCAGTTTGCTCTTTGTATGGGGAGAGTTTCGTAACCATCGCATATAATCTCTAATCAATGGGTGAGTTGAAGATTGGAGAGTCAAGGAGACACGGATAATGTTTCTCAAGACAATGGATGGCACTCTCCTGAGAGAAATGGATACCACAAAAATATAGTTAAAGAAGGAAGGGAAAAACTGAGCCATTAGCGGTAACCCGTGCACGCACGAGCGGACTCTAATTAGTTCACGCATCACTGATTGCGTTCGTTTCCATTGGGTTCTTTTTTTTTAATAAGAGCGGGTGGGGGAAGAGACGTTATTCTGGTGTAGGGAGAGTGGGTCCACTGAGAGAGTGGGTCCACTGAGAGAGTGGATACACTGAGAGAGTGGGTACACTGAGTTACTCTGAGAGAGTGGATACACTTAGAGAGTGGGTCCACTGAGGTACTCTGAGAGAGTGGGTCCACTGAGAGATTGGGTCCACTGAGAGAGAGAGGGTACACTGAGAGAGAGGGTCCACTGAGAGAGTGGATCCACTAAGGAGTGGGTCCACTCGGAGAGAGGGTCCACTGAGAGAGTGGGTCCACTGAGAGAGTGGGTCCACTGAAAGTGTGGGTCCACTAATAGAGTGGGTCCACTGAGAGAGTGGGTCCACTGAGAGAGTGGGTTTACTGAGAGAGTGGGTCCACTGAGAGAGTGGGTTTACTAAGAGAGTGGGTCCACTGAGAGAGTGGGTCCACTGAGAGAGTGGGTTTACTGAGAGAGTGGGTCCACTGAGAGAGTGGGTTTACTAAGAGAGTGGGTCCACTGAGAGAGTGGGTTTACTGAGAGAGAGGTTGTCTACTCAGAGAGTGGGTCCAATGAGAGAGTTGGTCCACCGAGACAGTGGGTACTCTGAGAGAGTCGGTCCACTGGTGTAGAGAGTGTGGGTCCACTGAGAGAGTGGGTTCACTGAGAGTGGGTCCACTGAGGAAGGTGGCTAACTTGGAGAGTGTTTTGAGCTGTGGTTACTTTAGTGTTTAGAAGTTGGACGCTTTAGAAAATGCTTTAAACATTGACTGCCTTAGAAATTGGTAAGTTTAGATATTGACTGCATTAGACATTGGCTACTTTAGACATTGACTACTTTAGACATTGACTTCTGTTGTGTACAAAGTCTCATGAATTAAATGTGGATATTGTGAAGTAGGAGATAGAAGAGATAGAGAGAGAGAGAGAGAGAGAGAGAGAGAGAGAAACACAGAGATAGTATCGTTCCATTAGTAATTCTATATTTGTCAACTTTCTCTTCTACTAAATAGCTTCAAGTTGCATGTGTGAGACGACTGGTTGCCAACGGAAAGTATTCGAGATGCGAACAGTAGTTGTTATTTCTTGGCGCGAATCCATATGTTGGCTACATCTAACTTGAATAAACAAACATGTACATTCTGCTGCCTCTACCTTCGGTCGTGACAATCATTAACGTATTGCATGTGAACTGCATATTCCAGAATTTATTTATTATGACGTTCTACACAGGTATTTTTCTTTCCTAGAGTGAACGCCCTTGATCTTAATGGTATGACAAAAGTGTGGAAATAGGTAGAAGTTAATGTGTAGATTCCAGACAGAAATGTGGACAAAATGTAGTGTGAAATTGTGTATAGATAACAGGCTAATGTCTAGATAAAATATGGACAAAATGTAAAGGGAATTTGTGTATAGATAACAGGTTATATGGTAGACAAATATGTGGACAAAATCAAATATACAAACACTCAGTTGGATAGTTGAAGTGGAGACCAACCTGCGCAGGTTGAAGTCCAGATTCAAGTCTGATGAAAAGAATGTGATGATGCAGACTAAAGCCCTTCATGGATAGTAAATCCACA